GTGCCCCTCTGTCCTTTAGGGTCTTAGCATTGAAATTGATTTGACGGCGATAAGCTTTTGTTATTGTTCACGTGTCACCACTGCTAGCGTCCAGCCGGCTGCAACAGGGACGTGCATCCTGTGATTATGAAAGAGAATAACGTATGAAAGGACTTCTGGACGCTGTGCACTTGCCTGAGCACCACAGATTTATTTAGAAGCACGTGGCTTCCCCTTTCACCTTCATTTCTGTTTCCTTTGGCCTCCTGTGGGCTGCTCACCTCTCTCTAATGCCTGAATCCAAAGGTGCAACCTATCATTCATTTTACACACAAATTCTTACACCTTTATCATTACGAACAATTACAGCGTTTGTGAAGGGATCACTTCTCAATTGGCAGCTAAGTTCTTAAATCTATATAGCTCCATCATCAAGAAAGATGCAGTATCTCCTAACAAGAAAAACAAATATTTGATCAAAGATATTTTCTTTTTTTATTAGTACTATTAAGTTTTATTAATTTTAATGGACATTTACAGAGATTTGGGGTTTTCATTCATTCATTGTTGCACTATTTTCTCTACCCTCCTCCCCAGTTTGTTCTTCTTTCCCCCCCTTGAAAGTCTGTTTTAATTGTCCAATTGCCACAGTGCTTGTCAAAGCCAGCTCTGATTATTCTCCTTTGTCAGTGTGTCCCTTGCCATTCTCTATCACTCCTCCGTGAGAGAGACTTCACCCTCATTCATAAGGAAAAGGGGATGGCATATTCTCTTAGCTACTTCCTGCTGAAAAGGGACGCTGTGGGTTTCAGGGTGAATGTCTTCTCTCACTACTCTAAAGGGCCCCTTTGGCAATAGGAAACACATAGACTATTATGAAGATTGATTTTGGAATTTAGATGCACTGTTATCAATTGTGCTTAGCCGTACATGTTCATATCCTTGAAGATGTATCATGGAAGTGTTGAAGCCTAGAAGACACAAATTTAACTAACAAGTTAAAAGTACATGAGTCAAAAATTAAAAAGCAATAATAGTCCAAATAGAGGCTCTAATAGTGGCACAAATCAAGTTACAGATGGAAGGTAGTACTTATAATAAAAGGCCTATTGACTAGCACTTTGTCTATTATAGTATAAAGGTTAGGAATCACAAGATGTAGGGGCTCAGCTATGTCATTTATGGTTCTTAAGTCCTGGAGCAAATTCCATCTACCACTGGGTTGTTTTACAACTCGGAAGTCTGCATGCAAGGCAGAGGTGAAGTAAGGAACTGCTTATGAGGTTTTCCGTCAATTCCAACAACTGAGACTTTGTCTGACATACTTTGGACATGTTGCAAGGAGGGACCAGTCCTTGGAGATGGACATTATGCTTGGAAGGATTGAGGCATGGAGAAAGAGAGGGAGACCATTGATGAGATGGATTGATTCAGTCACTGGAGTGATGGGGGTAGGTGTGTCAGAGACAGTAAAGTTGGCACAGGATAGAGCAGGTTTCAGGGCTGTTGTACATAAGGTCGCTATGAATCACAAGCAATTTAATGGCACGTAACAACAATAACTTCAGATTCATAGGAAATAATTAAAAATAGCATGTCTGGAATTAGGTGCACCCCAGTTCTTTAACATACTTGCCTTTTTGCTCTTTGAAGAGGTCCTTGAAAGCAGATTTTCTCAGCATAACACAAGTTTTGATTTCTTGACTGCTGTCACCATGAGCACTGATTTGTCTAAGCAAACTTAAGTAACTGACAACTTCAGTTTCTTCTCCATCTATCATGACATTGTCTATTGATCTAGTATAGATGGTGTTTATGTTTTCTTGATGTTGAGATGTAATCTACATTAAAGGCTGTAGCCTCTGGTCTTCTTCATTCTTCTTCAATCTGCTTACCTCCTATTGCTGTTGATTCTTCCTCCAATCCTGATGCCACATTTTTCTTCATATTGCCTAGCCTCTCCAATTATTTGCTCAGTTTAAAGATTGCATAGGTGTGGAGCAAAGTTATAACCCTGATACACACCTTTTCTGATTTTAAACCATGAACTGTTCCCTTGTTCTGTTCAGATAGCTGCTTCTTGGTCTATATATAGATATCACATGAGTACAGTGAATATATACACCAACTGCTGAAAGCAAAGATGATGAAATAGAGGATTTCTACAAACTTTGAAGCCTTCATTTGATAAAATAGGCCATCAAGTGACATTTGTAATGGTGACTAGAATGCAAAAGTTAGAAGCAAAGAAGGACTGGTAGTTGGAAAATATGTTTTCAGTGACAAAAATGAGGCTGGAGATCTCATGATAGAATTTTGTACAAACAATTATTTATTAACTGCAGGTTCTTGTTTGAACATGGCCTTAGTCTGATGAACTAAAGTAATCAGCATGACTCTGTCTGTGGGATAAGATAGTGGAGAGACTCATTATCAATAATTAAAACAAGCACAAGAGCTGTGGAACAGGTGTATGGTGCCTCCTTAAAAAACAGAACATAAGGGGAACTCTGGTGGCCTAGTGGCAAGAAGCTGTACTGCAATCCCAGAGGCGCACAGTTCGAATCCACCAGATGCTCTGCCGGGGAAGGAGGGAAAATCTCCCCCTGTACCAGTCAGATCTGATTTGATGGTACATGCACAAACGCAAATAATAAAATAAAAAAAAAAACCAAAACAAAACCCAGAACATAGAAATACCATCTGATCCAGAAATTCCACTGCTAGGTGTGCATCTACAAGAAGTGAGAGAGAGCACAGAAATAAGCATATGCGCTCTCATATCCACTGCAGCATTCTTCACAATAGCTAAGTATTGGAAATAATCTAAGTGCTCATTGATGGTTGAATGGATAAATAAGCCGTGGTATATACACACAAAGGAAAACTACACATCATTAAAGAACCAGGGTGATTCTGGCGTCTATTTTGTAATGTATATCAATCTGGCTGACATCATTCTGAGTGAAAAGAGACAATCACAAAAGAACAAATATGTCATCACTGCACTTCCATGAAAAGTTTATGTACAGATAAAAACATCAGTTGATGATTACCAGAGATGGGAGGACTGGGAGTAAAAAAAAAAAAAATCACTGACTAATAAGAGAGACATTGAATTTGGTGAGGGGAAAGGCAATATGCAAGAATAGGGTGATAAGCATAATAATAAAGAAAAGAGAAGGGAGCTGGGGAGAAGTGCATTAGAGTTACAGACGACAGAAATAACAGTAGACATCCCTCCACTAGTTGGTAGAAGAGCAGACAAACAGGCAAGATCAACAAGTGCGTGTAGGTGAATGCTACTTCACCCATGACTATATAAATTTGGCAGACAAAATTCCTATTCTCTATCTGTATGCGCTGTAGGATATCCATGTCTATTGCAGAGCAAACAGGGGACAGAACTATAGAAACTTTTATTTTTTTATTAATTTTAATGAAAGTTTAAGAGACTTAGGGTTTCCAGTCATTAATTGTTACACTTTTCTCCCTGCCCATCCCACTCCCCCCTAATTCACTCATTCTGGACTCCTGTCATTCTCTCTCTCTTTTTTCCATGCAGTATACATCATTCCTCCCCTCCTTCTCTGCCTTCCCTCAACCCTATGTCATTCTCATTTTACAACGGTGGCCCTATGCAATATTTGTCCTTTTGTGGCTGAAATATTTCACTCAGCATAATGTCCTCCAGGGTCACCCATTTTGAATAATATTGCATGAGTTCCTTATTTTTCAATGCTGCATAGTATTTCATGGTGTGACTATACCACAGCTTCTCTATCCATTCATTTGTTGATGGGCACTTGGGTTGTTTCCAGCTCTTTGCTATTGTGAACAAAGCTGCAATAAACATGGGTGTCCATGTATCTGCTTGGCTGGTAGTTATGGTTTCTTTAGGGTAAATAGAATTATGAAAACTCCTTAGTGATAATAAAACCCCTTCATAGAATGAATTCCTGAGTTTGGGAGCTTGGATCACAAACATGAGGTCTATCAACAACAAGTGGCCTGAGTCTTTGAGTAGTGGCTGGGGTCTTAAAAGTTTGTAAGTGGCCATCTAATGTGCTCACCATCTGCAACAAAGAATAAGGAAGGACATGACATGTAAGACCATTAGGCTGACAGGCTAACGGCCCACATGAATCTGTGTCCATGGCCTTGAGACCAGAAGATCTTGTTAGTACCTTGATGCCCATTGCTGACCATTCTGATAGGGGTTACAATAGAAGGCCCCTGTGAGAGTGGGGCAAAAATGTGGAACAAAATTTAAAAAATGATAAAAAAAGACCTGATAGAGACTGCTGGACCCACTAAGGCTGTGGCCCCAAGTCGACTTGGTGACTCAGCTTTCAGTCAAACAATAGACAGGTCTATCAGGTGAGCAGTAAGAGCAGAGAGGAACCCTTCGGACAGTCAACTGTACACCATCAAAAGGACAGCATTTCCCCCAGGGACAAGGATCAGAAGCATGGAAAGATAGGCGAGAAGGACAAACGGACATGGGAGGGTGTTAGAAGAGTGTTGGTAAATCGTGAGTTTGTAAAATGTCATGAAACAAAACAGCCTTGAATTGATGCATGAAAAGTCAATGTGCTTTGTAAGCTTTCACTCAAATCATGATAAAAAGGTTTGGGTTTTTGTTTGTTTGTTTTTTAATAGGTAATGCTGCTATAAAGGCTATGCATACTCAGTTAAGATGATAGACACTGCTATTAATGCATATTTTCTGCTCGAGTTGAACTACCTCTGTGTAGTGGTATTCCTCTAGGACCTCCCTATTTAAATGGCCTAAAAGTTTCTTCTTTCTGTTATTGTGAGAAAACTTCTGTTCACCTTCAGCTTCTCTCATATGGGACTGTCCTGTCATTGTTAGCCCTTCAGAGAATCTGTCTTTCATGTTTAGAGAAAAATGTAAAAATGACCTATTCGAATGGCCTTTAATTTGCATGAATCATGCCCTTCAAGGAGAATGAAGTACTTTTTCCTCCTGACTGTTTGTACTTTCTTTCTTGTCTTAGATGGAGGAATCAACGAGCGCACACTTTGGCAGCCACGGCAGAAGGGCCTTACTTTACCGGCCACCATCCTACAGCAAAACAGAGCTCCGAGTTCTCCATCACATACTCACCCAACATCGCTATACTGTTGTGATTATTGAAGGGAAGCTTGGTGCTGGTCTTGGACTGGGGCTGCTTGAACAAGGTTGGTCTTACAAATAATTATGGCTGCCACTTGATGCATAATGTTTAAAAAAATGTCTAGAATATGCTACTGTCTTCCTCTAAAGAAGTTCACAAAAGCATATTATTACCAGTGTGCATTTTCTTGCTTTCTAGAAAACTCAGTTCTTTTTCCCCCTTCCTTTTATTCTCCCCCCCTTTAGCTGTGGATCTTTATTTCTAAAATTATTTTGTTTATATTTTGTGGCATTTTTGAGCTGCCTAGCTCATGTTTAAATGCTACATAAAGAATGTTTATGTTTATGAGCCTCAATACATGTTCCACCCAGCACCAAACTGCTCCATATTTTAAGAAAATTGGCACTTCATCTGACTGCTAGTAGAATGTGCTGGAAATTGTTTTGAGAAGCCAGCTTAAATGTGATTCACAGATTGGCTGTAAATGTGAAAAGGGTATAGACATTTTTCACTGACTCCATTGCTAGGCAAGTCCTTTTATTTCTCTCAGTAGAAGAGAAAACAAGATAGAATATTTTAAACAGTATGCTGGAAGGTTGAGGAAATAGGAAAAAAAAATCAAGATACAGTCAGGATTTGATAAGATGTAATAAATGGCATTGGGCAATTATAATTAATGTTCTAAAAATGTGTATGAATGATTAAATGAAAACCGATAATAAAGGGCAGTAACAATAACATAACATTTCTTGAGCAAACACCATAGGATACCAGATACCATACTTTGATTTATATTTATGATCCCATTTAAACTGCCCTGCATCCCCTAAGTGCCCTAGAACTGCCAGTTGCTGTTGAGCCAACTCTAATTCGTAACAACTGTGTGCAAAGCAAAGTGTGTTTTCTAGACATGATGGAATTTTCCTAATGAGATCACCAGGACTTTCTTCTGCAGAACCTCTGGGTGAACTTTAACGTCCAGCTGAGCACTTAATCACTTGCACCATAGGACTTGCAAAGGAATCCACTGTGCAAGGACATTTTTTTTAAAGTTAGATATTTAGTGTCTATCTCTTTAATAACTAGAGAAAACTGGAAATTGGACTTGACACTGGATTTCTCTTCATTTGAGTTAAAGTCATATTCTACTCCCCATAGACCTCTGCTTGGTGCTGTTACTGACTTTCTGTTGGGACAACATGATATCTCTATTCATTTCAGTGGAAATTCAGTGTCAAGTCCAATTTTGGATTTTCTGTCATTGCATAACAGACAGAATCTATCTCCTTTTCTTACTTGGTGTTCTCACATCAGTGTTATAAGCAAAAAGAGGATTACTTTGAAGCTTTTAGTTAACAAAGAGGTGCAAAGGGAGCCCAAAGGCAATGGATTCTGGCAGGCCACGAGCCCCTGGAGGCAGGTAGTGGGGAAATAAGGGGTAAGAGGTGGTGTTACCAGCATCTGTTAGCACAGAAGCTGAGCTTGCTGCCGTTTCCATATTACCACAGCTTTGGAAGCATCCACTTCCTGACTTTTTAGTATTCCTTTACCCTGTATAATAAGATATTATTCCTGGATGTGTCTCAAGAAAGGATAGCAATTTCACGAGTTTGGAAAATCGATTTTTGGTTTTTCATTTCATTTTGTAGTTTCTACTGTGTGAGAATAATGTACATCCAATGCCCAGTGCGAATTAAGTTCTCTCACTGTAATTTAACCTTTTCTTGATCGTTTAATAAATAGAAGAAAACATTTTACAATCGCAACTTATTTTTCTCCTGGCCACAAATTTCATCTTGGAGTGTTTAGCACAATTAATATGTGCTGGGGCTCTGTTTCTTATAGGATTCATTTTGTTTTAGTTTCACATATTGACCTAATAGGTTCTTTGTTTGTTTTATCCTGATTAGACAGGAGGGAGTTGCATTGTCACATTCACATTTAATATGCCCAAGTTCAATAGCTTGATGGAAGTGGAAACAATTTGGAATGATCTAGAGACTTTACCTCCCTATCTTCACTTTACGGCTGCCCTCTCTTTTGTTTGTAGAATTGAAGTTTGAAAACATCACATGAAAAACACAACTGCTGATCTCACAAATGTTAATAAGTATCTTGGTGTGGCTGTGACACATTTATAAACTATATTGGTCAGAGGAGAAGAAATCGAAATTGTGTCTTCCCTGTGTTACCTGCCTATTTTACCTGCTTTGCTCTTAGCTCTTGATGTGACCCCAATAATGTCAACTGACCTCCCCTTGTGCTCTCATTTGAGGTACAGGCTGCCTCTTTCTAGTCTAGTATCACTTTTTATAAAACTTTGAGGCCAGAAAAGGAACTAAGAAAGAGAGGGAGACAGAGGAGAGAGAGAGAAATGTTTATTGGCCAAGATACAAAACTCCATTATTAATTAAATTCATATTTGTAGAGTAACCTTGCTATTATGATGTGTGTTTAAAATAGTGGGTTTTTTTCCAGACTGACTATTTTCTCTGTTTTCATAAGATACAGCAATGAACTTTCTATTTTATTTCATTTCCCTGTTGTTTAGTAAAATTTGTAGAATGGAAAAGTAGCCAATCTTGAGTTATAACAGAGAATATGAGAATTAAGCTTTTTTTCCTAGTTAATTCCATTCCCATGCCATGACATCCAATAGTTACTTCCAAGAAAAGATTAGAAGACTAGGGACAACATTGTGTTGTTGTTGTTGTTAAGTGCTGTTGAGTTGTAGGTAATTCATAGCGAACCTAAGAACAAAAATCCTCGACACTTGCATGTGTGACTTTTATCCATTCTCCAGGTTCATAGGGTTTCCTGAGGCAAGCTATTTATGGAAGTGGATGCCACTCCTGCTTCCAAGCTTGTTTCAACCAGGGAGTGCCACCCAACACTGTCCACCATGTAACCATTATCACATTTGACACATCAGTGTCACAGTGTTCAGCTTCACAGCAACCACAAGTTACCTCAGTACAGCAAGTGGACACACCAGGTCTATACGACCTAGAAGTCTGTTCTAGGGACAATCTTAAGTAAGTTAAATTCTAGGGAATTTAACAGTTCTGTGTCTGTTAAATGATGGTAGTACTTACTGTTTACTTTGCAGTAGTTTGTCATGAGGATTCACTCTCATTGTCCACTCATCCAACGGCTAGGAGTGGACAGCAAAGCTCAGTCCTTATTTGCTCTCATTCAACAGTTGGAGAATGGGTACAGAATTATCGGTGATTAACACAAGCCCACGCAGCTCCGATGTGCAGCACCACATGGGAAGCACTGTCCTGAGGGGTATGTGATTAGTTTAAAGAGCAGCAGTCTTCAGAATTAATTTTGGGAATAACAAGATAAAAAGCCTACTCACTATTTTGTCATTGTGCTACTTAAGACATAATGTCATGGGAGTTTGCATGCATTTCATCTTTAAAGTAAATTTGAGAACAGTAAGAGGACAATTCTCTTTGCAGAATCAGTCCAGCAAAGTTTTGCACAATGCAAAATGCACACTTTTATGGTCTTAGAGTCCCTCTAAGTAGATTCCACCTTTCTGTACATCTGTGTAACATATAATTTTCTAAAGGAAAAGAGATGAATACTATCCACTTACCTGCTTCCCTCTCTATTATCCTGGTTACTATTCAGTGCATCAGTGCTTCCGTACGTGGACTAGGAGAGTGAGCTGAGAAAGATCAAATGTTTTCCTAAAGTATCTAACCAACTTCCCTGCTGTAGTCCAAGAACTATATGATTGAAGAGACTCTGGACTCAAAATAGATATTGCCTTTGTGTCAAACTTACCTATGCATACTTGAAGTACAGTGTGCATTTAGCAATTTTGTTTCATTTCTGCACAGAAGCTGCAATTTAGAATTGTACGTGGTAGAGTCTATGTAAAAACACCCACATGCCAACCTGCTATTTAAGCCTCAGAGTTGGAGTCACACTTTGGTCACCATTATTCTTATTTTTGTGAATTATGGCTTGTGAATGTAATGAGTTGGGTTTTTTTGAGAAAAACAACCAGTGAAAGGTCATATTGCCTTTCTTGTCAAGAGTCAGCCACCTGTGACAAATCAGCCCCACTGTCCCGTTTTATGAAGATTTATCAAAAAACAGCCACACTTATTTTCTCCTGTATTTTCTATGACTGCGAGTGTGCTGCGCTACAGTATTGAAGATGATTGGTTGTGTGAGGCTCTAGTTCTCAAGGCTAGAATACTTTCTATTAGGTCTTTTACAGAAAAGGCTAATTCTTATGCCTAGACTAATCAATCCATTCAACCTATTATTCAGTCGATTAAACTCTAGGACAGAAATAATTTTTATTTTATTTTATACTGATTTATTTACAAAGTTTGACTACATAGTTTTTCCACAAAAGATACTTCCCATTTCCTTCACCCCACCCCACCCCAGTCAAATTGTGCAACCCTATGATTAACTTCGCGCCCCTCCCCCACCTTAGACCCTCATACTCATTCTACAATAATGGTTTTATACCTTATTTGTCCTTATGGGACTGAGTTAGTTCACTCAGCATAATGCTCTCCAGTCCTTCCCAAATTGGGTTATAATTTACAAAATCATTACTCCTTTATACTGCATAGCATTTCATTGTATGACAGTACTGCAATTTCTCAATCCATTTGTAAGTGTTTGGACATCTGGGTCGTTTCCATGTTCTTTCAATGGTGAATAATGCTGCTATGAACATTAGTGTACCAGTCAGAAATGGTTTTAGAACTTATATACAACCTCATTAAAAAAAGATTTGATAGTTTACAATAAAACACATAGTAATAAAATTATTGATCTTAAGTGTTTAATTAGGGTCTGTCTTAATTATGCTGTGCTGGATTAGCAGAAATAGCATAAGCAGGTGCCTTTAACAAACAGAAATGTTATCTCTCATTACTTTTGAAGACAGAAGTTCAAATACAGGGCTTCCACTCCAGGGGAAGGCTACTCTCTGTATGTGTCCTTGTTTAGGAGTTTCTCAGAACAGGAACCTGAGTCCAAAAGATGAACTCCAATCCTGGCTTCTCTTTTCTGGCCATACTAATG